GAATTGAGAGATAAAAAAAACTTGGTAGGTTTCTGAAAGTAGAAATCTTATGATTACATGTATTGGTTTACGCAAAAATTTGGAAATTCCTTCTATTTAATGAATAAAACTTCATGTTCCTCCTCTGAGCGAGACAAAGCGCGCGGATTGACCACGGTCCACCACTTCTCCATGTTGGTGACTGCCCACACATCAATGATGAGCATTAAATTATGTGAAAGACATAGTTAATACGGGGGGTCGTACCGATACCCTCCGAAAAGGAAGGGGGTCGTAAAAATTTTGGAATTTGCGCAACGCACGGTTGACCCTGCTTGCAGCTGGCAACCTCCCACCAAAGGAGAAGTATCGATGATTCGTATCGATTTCGTGTTGTATATTTCTTTTTATACGAGTGATTTTGCTCAAATCATAATCAACGGTCAAAAGATAAGCCGTGGGTTTCCTTTTCTTCATTTTTCACTCCGCGCATTTTGCACAACTCATGTGTGTCATCTAATTTTATTACTTCCAGGTTGAAATTGTCGCGGTGAAAGGAACTGGACGACGTACCTACGTTTTACTGGATAGTTCCACTCGGCGAAAAGATGAGAAACCGAACATTAGACCAACAGGAAACATCTCAACAGCCGAACTGCATGATGGTCTAGTCGACATTCTCGTGGAAATGTATCCGGAAACATTACACGTAGGGGTGAAAATCTATTTTCCCTAAAATGAGGACAATCCGCGTTTTTTCATCGGACTGGAAGCAAATTGGATCGTTGGACTAGCGCTTTTGAAACTAGTGGAGAACGTTTCGGAAATTTCAGTTGAAATCGATATTTTTTTTTGACTGCAAGGGCACAGGTCGTCATCCATAGCATTGCTGAAATTTTCGAAAATGTTTCAAAGTTTCCGATTTGTACTTTCTCTACTTTGCATAGTCAAGTGGTATAACCCCTTTAAAAGCATTTAGAATGGGTCGTTCGCAGTTGTACGCGATGAAATACCAACTCACTACTTGGCTTACCGCGTTTCCGATTACAGCGTCAAAATCTCGATTTGGCTAGGTATTTGTCCCCAAAGGCTCCCTAACTAGTTCTCGTCTGGCACGAAAGCGTATGTGCGTGGGTTACAGGCTCGAGCGCTCTTGCATTGCACGAGGCCGAAATCACTCCTGTTTATAGTGTTTCCTTAATGGCATCTGAATGATATGCTTTCTTGTAGAATGATTGCAGCTTTCTTTTCCGGAATACTAGGCTACTTCTATTTACAAGTTTTCGAAGGCAGCGATTACGGAAAAATCAAGAAGGGCTTATTGTGACGTGATTACGGAAAATCAAGAAGGGCTTATTGTGACGTGGTGGTGCTCAATGGTACGCCAGTGGCGAAAAAAGATCCGTCGAGAAAACGCAAATGGGACCCTCCCCCTTTTGGCTGTTGGTTTTCACTCATCAACAGGTAACAATTCTGAAAAGTGGAGTTATGACGAGTTCCGGAGATTTGATGGGCACTCATTGCTAATCATGCTCTAATTCGAGATGGCTCCATTCATGCGCCACTACTAGCCATGCAGCTCGTCCAAACCAACAAGTAAACTTGTGGGCGGAGCGCTTTCCGAAGTCCTGCTCAGCAACCAGCGCACCTTTCGTTGTGAAAGCGCCACACCTCGCTTCCTTGCAGCCAAGTAACTGCTTCGTGTGGTGCATATGCTTCCCCGATGCGTTCCCTCTTATCGTAATCGCTTCCTTTTACGAGCTTGTTTTTAATGTCAGCTATTTTTAACTCATTGGTGACAGCGCGGGACTCATACGTCCCTACTTGTGTCAGTGTGCTTTCACACGGAGTAGACTCGTTGTGCTTGAGTCAAGCCTCCATTTTCATGTTCCGGAACCAGGGTGAATATCGCTTGAGGATTCCTCAAGGGCACGTCGGGGACTCGCGCGGACAGTCACACCCGCTGCGCGTGCCGTCTGCCTTCCGCGCGGATGTTCACTCTCGGCACTACTCTCGCATGGTAGAGAGCTATGGTCGAGGAAATCCTCGACCGTTATTCACTCTGTCCGGAACTGTCCGGATGCATTACCGCGTACGGAAAATGGTGTTATTACTTATATTGAAACTGTTATGAATTAATCACTAGTAATGAAAAATAAAGCTAAAGAAGGATGAATGTGCTTGCAGGTTCGATCTCTCACCAAAGCGTTTTTGGATAAATATGGAATCGCTGTAGAACCTGAGACTTCTCTCAACCTTTCATGGGAGAAATTTATTTTGAAATTTTTCTCGGGGCAGATCGAAGTGGATAACGAAGGGGTATCGCATTTTCAGTTAAAACTGAAATTCATCACGACTGCAATGGTTTTTTTTTTCAAGAATGTGAGCCTCAACGAAAACGACCCTCTGTTGCACGACAAGATTTTGAAGAAGTGGACTGTAGACGCACTTGAAGCTCCCATCGGTTAGTTGGCGTGAACCAATTTCAGGGCACAGCTCACGTGATAAAGCGATCATCAAACCTGCATGACCGCAGATATCATCTCTGAATGTCATTTACAGGCAGGTCTTTTAGGGTGTGAAACGCTTTTTGGAAGCGGTTTTCAGCATTCCATTGAGACTCATGCGCGGATTATAAAACCGTGGTACGTTTTCGTGGAGCGGCCCTGTGGTTCAATTCGGTTCAATTTCCTGTAATGACAAAATTTTTGCATTTCAGGTTGTAACTTCCAAATTGCATCCAAACAGCGATCCATCAAGTCCTATATCCAATGCTGTAGAAACCACCCTTTCGAGCAAATTTTTTCGATCTCTTTTCTAGTCTGCAGGGCCGCTCAGCGAACGTCTTGTAGTCCACCTGAGAGCCCTTACAGCAAGAAAGAAACCATTTTGAGAAGGCGCTCCACATCCTGAAAGACCCCCTTTGTGACAGGAATATCTTTTGAACAGTTCATGTATGAGTTTTCTAGCTGAAGTGTGATTGAAATCAATTTTTTCGATAATCCTACGAATAAATTTTTTTTTGAAGGTACCGATTCGTCATTTGACAGCACGGATTCAAACACAGCTGCAAAT